CCACAAAAAGGTACAGCCGCAGAAACCCTGGGCAGCCGTTCTTCTCTCCCCCAAGGGTTGTCTGAGTCAGAAGGGACACGAGGGCAGCAGAATTCATTTGGGCATCAAACTCCAGAATCACATTTGGTGTACGTTTCAAATTCCAAATCGCATTTTTTTAACCACTGAAAAATGTGTTTGCCACCTTGAAGGAATGAGTTACTGGGCTTCGGGGCTCAGGACCATGGTCTTGGGAAAAACCAAGGACAAGTCTACTCAACTACATAGTAGTCCAACAGACGAATGGTCCATACACACCTCAGACTCCATGACTCTGAGATCAAAAGAATTAGATGGTGACTGCCTACCACTACCAGTGACTGAGAGAGGGATATTAGAAGGTCCTGGAAAAAAGGAGAAAAATGTAGAACAAACCTCAAAATCAGTAAAGAATCCAGGTTTACCAGTCAGATAGATTAGTGCAGTGGTTCTCAACCTGTGGGTCATGAACCCGTTGGGGGCCAAATGACCCTTTCACAGGGGTCTCTTAGTTCATAACAGTACCAAAATTATGGTTATGAAGTAGCAACGAAAATTATTTTATGGTTGGGGGGGTCACCACAATATGAGGAATTATATTAAAGGGTCGCAGTATTAGGAAGTTTGAGGACCACTGGATTAGTGGAACCCCTGAGACTAAAGATGGCTCTTAGTCACCCTTCAGGTCTGGAAGTGAACTCAACTCAATGACAAAGTTTTCAGGGAAACAGTAGGCCTAGAAGAGGAACAACAACACTAAGTGCAGGCTCCTTAGAATCATCAACCATGTGTGAGCAACAGGGGAGCTTCCCCCAAGGACCAAGTTCAGGTCTGGAAAGAGGGCGCAGTGACAGCAGGAAAGACTGGAAGGGAGCAGGGGCTACGTGATGCTACATTGTGAGGATTGCAGTCAGTGACATGGGAAAAACAGGTGTGAAATGTTGAATGGAAAATTACTCTGCTCTGTAAACCTTAACCCAATACACAAAAAGTTAAATTAAAACACACACACACACACACACACACAAATGTTTGCTCAGTTTTCCTTCTCCTTCTAATTCAGCAATCTTTCAGACACATACCTCTTTTCCTAAATTTACTAACTTATTCAGGACCATTCTCCTGTTCACAAGCTATCCCTTCAGGAAAAGCTTCCCAGCCCCTGCCTTCCCACCCCGCCCCCCATGACAGCCCATTGTTGACTCACTGGCAGTCCGTAGATGTCCTTTGACCAGCAGCATGTTTATTTTGGCCAGCAAAACGTGCTTTTTAACATTTTCCAACCAGTTGTCATTTAAGAATGTGGAAACACCGCTCAAAAGTTTGAATTTTCGACTTCTCGAAAAACAGGATCTCACAACACAAGGCCCGCAATGCTGCATAGCAACTGGAATTGCCTACAGCTGTGGAGTCAGGTGGGCTGGCTAATTGCAAGGTTAGAAATCCAAAATGACCAGCTGCTTTGTGGGAGAAAGATGAGGCTATATCTGCTCCCTTAAAGCTTTCCTCCTCAGAAATCCTGTATCAGGTTGTTGAGTTGGAATCCGCTCGGTGGCAGTGGGTTTGGGATTGAGTTGGGTTGCCCCTGTCTCCTGGGTGTGGGCTCCCCAGCTCTCAACTACGTCCTACTCCCTGGTCCACAGGACTGCCTGTGCCTTGTACCATCGGCGCTTACCTTATGATAAATAGTTCAGTAATTTCTTAATATACCCTATTTCTAATTTTTTTCAAGGTAAAGGTCAGTCAGGTTGACCAAGCAATCCACAGGCTTCAAGAAAAGAAAGCATAGGCATATTTCTTTGCGAAAAATAACTAGTTTTCTTGACTATACAAGAAACCTAACCCGCTGCCATTGAGTGGCTTCAGACTTGAAAGGACCCTATAGAGAGGTTCTACTGGGAGGTTTCTAAAGCTGTAAGTCTTTCCAGGAGCAGACAGCCTCCTCTTTCTCCCATGGAGTGGGCTGTTGGGTTTGCATTGCCAACCTTGCCCCTTAATATGTAAACAAGAGACATATTAAATGCTAAAAAAACAACTTAACCACAATAAGGAGCCTGCATGGCATGGGGAAAAGTATGAAATAACATCAAGAACTTGTTTTTTAAGTAGGAACAGAGTAAATGATAATTTTGTGAAATATTTTATCTAATCCACTTCACTCATATGTGTCATCAGTGGTACTACGCTGTAGGTGTTTTGAGTTTTCTCCTCCAATTTAGCTCCATGAAAAGACCCCTGATGACACATGACAACAGTGGTTCAAATGACTCAAAAGTTGGCAGTTTTAATCTACCAACCACTCTGTGGGAGCATCAGAAACCCTGTAGAGTGGACGTTCTACTGGGCGGTTGTGATAGGTGGAATGGACTGGATAGAAATAGGTTTCTGACACTCCTAAAGGTCAACAAACAGACCTTGAACTTTTTACAGGCTTTTCTCTTTTTTTGTCATTGATTTTTGTTGTTGTTTTTTCTTTTGTCGCTTTGTTTTGCTGTCTTGTTTTTGTGTGCATATTATTATCTCTGCAAGTCTATCTAGATAAGATAGGCTGAATAAACAATCTGGAGGAGAAAACAATGGGACCAATGGTTCCAGGGGGACATGGGGAAGAGGGAGGTGGGGGGAAAGGAAGTGGTGTTAACCAACCCAGTTACAAAATCAGTGACAAGGAAAGTGTAAGAGGCCTGGTAGGGATTGATCAAGGGCAATTCCAAGAGGAATTACTGAAACCCAAATGAAGGTTGAGCACGATAGTAGAACAAGAGGGAAAGTAAAAGGAAATAGAGGAAAGAACTAGGAGGCAAAGGTATCTATAAAGGTCTAAATACAGGCATGTACAAATGTAAATATATTTACATATGATAATGGGGAAATAGATCTATGTGCATATATTTATAGGTTTAGTATTAAGGTAGCAGAAGGACATTGGGCCTCCACTCAAGTACTCCCTCAATGCAAGA